AACTAATAGGAAGAAGATGAAAGGGACGAGGGGAAAAGAGCCATTAGAATAAGGTCACCTAGGGGCAGCTAGGTGGCATAGTGGATAAAGCATTGGCCCTGGAGTCAGAAGGACCTGTGTTCAAATTCTGCCTCAGACACATAACACTCACTAGCTGTGTGACTCTAGGCAAGTCACTTAACCCCAGTTGCCTCATGAAAGAAAGAAAGAAAGAAAGAAGAAAAAGTTCACCTTAAAAAAAGATAAAGTAACTGAAGGAACATAGTACTGTATTTACAGCAAAAGAAGGAAAAATCATAACTTGAAATTATTAGAAACAAATGGAAGAAAATATTAGTATGACTATTATAACATTAAATGCAATTGGATTAAACAATGAAAAGTGACAGATTGGATAAGAACACAAAACACTACAATCTTTTGCTTGCCAGAAACATAAGATAACATAAGATAAAAATGAAGGAATGAGAAAAAATTGTTATGAATCTTCAATGGCTAACCAAACTCTAAGCACTTGACAGAATCTGCTTCAGGTGCCTTCATGACAGTGGTACCTTTTACCATAATATAGTTTCTTTACTTCTCATCTACCTGTTCTTCTGGAGGAAGTCTTCACATGCTTACAGTAGACACCCCCCTAACTCACAAATAGATTTGAGGCCCATCAGTTATCCTTAATCTGTTTAACCCAGCTGCCAAGATGGTTTACCAGGGTGTGACTGCTGCACATGCTCCAGCTTCTTGGAGCCACAGGTGAGATTTAACTGCCAGGTGGACACTAAAGGTAGATGAGTAGCCCTGAAAAGGGGTCAGCTTGCCCTCACATCAAAAGTGCTAATCCTCTCTAAACATCCAATACATTATAGTGCTAGGAATATATCCTAAAAATCTCAATGACGGAAGGGATCCAAATATACCCAAATATTCATTAAAAACCTTTTTGTGGTAGTAGAGAACCAGAAACAAAGTAGATGGTCATCACCTGGAAAATGGCTTAATAAATTTTGACACATTCATTTAATGAAATATTACTTCACCAAAATAAACAACATGAAATCAGAGAAACACTTGGAGATTTATATGGACTGAAGAAGAATGAAGTGAGAAAAATAAGAAAAACGGTACATACATTTACTTTAATGATGTTAATTGAAAGATTATGAAGTCAAATCCATGTAATCATAATTACCAAGATTGATTGTAAAAATGAGTTCAAAAAATACTCCTGTCTCCATTCACTGAAGAGGCAGAGGAATATTAAGAATGGAATTAATTAAGGTTTAGATTTTGGTCTTGTATCCTCAGTACCAGTACAATAGCTGGTACTTAGTAGGCATTTAATAAATGCTTGTTAATTATGTCAGAGATAGACAATGTGTTAGTTGGCTTGGATATACTGCTTTAAAATAATTTGTGCTACAATTTGAGTCTCACTGCATAAGGTAACAGGTCGGAGATATTTGAAAATCAACTGATGTTAGAGTAAAAATTATCAATAAAATTATTTACATTAATAAGCAAATGAAAATGAGCATAAGGATGCTTTTGAAATAAATAGTATATCTGAAACAGTATTGGAAAAAAATGTAATACTGGTTCCTTAAGGAAATTGGAAATATGTTTATTATCAACCCTTTTTTTTAAAAAAAAATAACAACAGCAACAAGAATAACAAGAACAACAAAACCTAGCATCTGCTTCTTTTTTTTTTTAGGAGGGAGTAGAAGGGTAGCATAATTTTTTTTAAAGTGAATATCGCTTGTAGTTATATATTCTGTCTAACTATACATTCATAAGATTTTTGAAAATGGAGTAGTGGTATTGGTGATGGGAAGGAGGTTAAGTTAATTAGGATAAATTCATGCAGAAAAGGTAGTTTTGGCATTACTAAACCTCATTGCAAAAAATAGCTCTATTTTCTTTTTTCATCAGAATCCCCACTTTTATTAGCTTGTTCCTTCCTTGACTAATTTTCCCTGTTGTAATATATAACCATATGTGGTTAAGGAAGCATAATTCTACAGCTTTAATGATTGCAGATGCAGCATTTTTCATTGGTTTTAAATTACTTTTAAAATCACTAAGATGTCTATATCCATTGAACCAGAGATATCTCACCGCTAACCATATACCCTAGAAAGGTAAAGACATAAATATAACACCTATATTTATCAAAATTTTCACTGCAGCATTTTTTGTGTGTGTGATTGCAAAAAATTAGAAATAAATTTAAGTGTCTTTTGACTGAGAAATGGCTAAACAAATCACAGTACATGAATATAATGGAATATTATATCCTAAGAAAGAACAAATTTTAAAAATCAGATTATGATTATTATTGTTATAATGTCACCAAAAGAGAGGTAAAGATAATGTATTCCAACTCTCTCATTATATATGACAACTAAATGAGTCCAGAGGAATTATATGACTTACCAAAGGTTACACAACTAATTAGTGGCAAATACTAATAATAACAAGAATAATAGTTGACCTTTAGGTGACACTTAAATGTCTTATATACATTATTTTATTTGAACTTCACAACTCATCATATTCTACTATCCTTCTTTATAATATTTTGCAAACAACCTTCTATTCTAAACCAGTAGTGTCCTTGATCACCATAGTTTTTTGGTTGGCATATGATAATGATGATAATGGTAGCATTTTTATACTATTTTAAGATTTCCAAAGTGCTTCATAATTACTATCTCATTTCATTCTCTCAGCAACCCTGACAGTTAGGTGCTATTGTTATTTCCATCTTACAGATGAGGAAAATTGAGCCTGTGAGAGGTTAAGTGGTTTGCCCAGTATCATACAACTAGTAAGTGGACCAATTTGAACTCAGGTTTTTCTGACTTCAGGTTCATTGCTCTATCCATTGAATACCTAGCTATTTCTAGATAAAATGCTTGCTTGCTGAGGCAATTTTTATGGTCTTCCATACCCTTATGGCAATAGATTAAACTTTCTTAGGAAATCATGGCCATCTGGTTAATTTTCTACACTAAAAAAAAAAAAAAGTGGAGTCATGGTATTTGGCTTCAAAGATCCCAGAAACTAAAATGTCATTAAAAAAAATAGTGACATTGTTTGTCCTTCATTCTCAAAGAGGACCAATGACATCATAGGGTAATGTCTTGACTTGCACATGAATTCAATTTAAGTGAAGCAGAGCTGCACAAAGTCATCAGTGTCTCCCTTCCAAAGCCATATAAGTGCATTGGCAAGACAAAAGTCAAGATAACTGGAGGTGGCCCAGTGTACCATGGATGACCTTAGTACCTTCAGTGTCTGAACAAGGTCTAAGTGTTCCACAGTTCCTGCTTCAGCTGCCTTCATGGCTGTTGGAACAAATTATTCTCATTCTCCTAATCCACTATTGGGCAAGTTAGTATGAGTAATTACACCAAAACAAGTATGCAAGGAGAAAACCTAAACTAGCGTCTCAGTGTCACAGTGCTTGGAGCACTAGACCTGGAGTTAGAAGATCTGACTTGAGATTAGGTTCCAAACACTTCTTTGCTAGCTAAATAATTTGAAGGCCTGAAGTTACGAAGAATCATCTTCCTGAGTTCAAACTTGGGCTCAGACATTTGCTGGCTTCATGACCCTGGGCAAGTTCATTTAAGCCCATTTGCCTCAGTTTCCTTATCTGTAAAATGAGCTGGAAAATGAAATGGCAAATGGGGTCACAAAGAGTCAAACACCACTGAAAATGATTGAATAACACAAAAGTACAACAATGGTACTTACCTCACAGCTTTTTTTGTGAGGATTGAGTTAGATAATAATTGTAAAGGACTTAGCACAACACCTAGCACACAGTGGACACAATAAATACTTGTTTCCTTCCTGCTAGCTGAAAAGGACAGGATTTTTTAATGGAAAAGAGAAGATTATAATTAATCTTTGGGGGGAAATCATGAATATTATTAGTACAGAACAAAAGTGATCGTGAAAATATCACTAGCAACACATAGGTTATCTTTATCTTTACAACAACATGTTTATGAGAATAATATTCATATGTTTAAGGTGTTTTATGAATATATTAAAAAGCAAGATTTCATAAGTTTAATTCTGAAGCAGATGATATATTTATATTCATTCAATTGATTGAAAAATTATAGGATACAAGATGCTGCTAAATCCTATAACAAGTCAGGGATTGTAAGAGTCTAAGACTATGAAGGGAAGCATTTCAGGAAGAGAGAACAAAGGTATGGGGAGCAAAAACGAATTTTCATGTGTGAAGAATATAAGGGAGTCCAACATGACTAAGTTGTAGCATGTGAGAAAGGGAGGAGAATATAAGAACCTTGAAAAGGCAGAAAGGGGGCAGGTTATGAGGAACTTAAAATGCCAAATAAAGGAGTTTATATTTGGATTTTGAGCATGGAAATGATATGATCAGACACATGCTTTAAGAACACCAACTGAGTGACAGATTAGGAGCTGAATGGATAGATTGGAAAGAAAAGTCTGTTGCAATAGTCCATGTGAGAGGCCCTGTACTAAAACGGTATCTATAGAAGTAAGGAAAAGGATATACATGCAAGAGACGTTGTAGAGAAAGAGATTACAGTATTTGGTGACTGGTTGGATAGGAGATGTGGTGAGACAGAGTAAACAGGGATGACACACAGGTTTTCAATCTGAGTGACTGGAAGGATTGTGATACCTTCAACAAAATAATAGAGAGGTTCAGAAGTGGGAGAAGAAAATGAATTCTGTTTTGGATGGATCCATGCAGCACCTTTCAGCTGATGGACATGACATAGATGAACATTCAACAAAGAGTCGAGGAGGAAGTAGGAAGTGGTGTAGGAAGTTTAAAGAGAAAAGACACATTTTTGAACATCTGCTAAGTGTGACAGGGAATTATTTGAGGAGAAGTAGGATTATTTTGATGTCCTAAGGCCCTAGTTGAAATTATTTAGCATAAAGTAAATAATGGACACAATAGTTGTATGTTTGTATCCCCATTCCAGATTTGTTTGTGGGGAGGAGAAAATGAGATTTGGCTGGCAATAAGAAGACAGCAAGGTATCCAAGAATAGAAGAGAATATAGATTGAACTTTCCCGGCAGTGGGTGAAGATTCTGATGTGAGTATAACCACAGCAACAGTGAAGTCCTAGGAGAAAAATGAGGAACAGAAGGATTGAAGGTAATGGATAAATAAAGTATTTAGGAAGAGTGAGATATAGGGAGAGATGGAAAGAAAAAAGTTTGTGAGAGGAAATTAAAAGTTTTTCAGCATAAAAGCAGAACGTTCATAGGTGACGTTGCAAATCAAGGCTATGTAGATATTTGTATGTATTTGTGTGTTTGTATAGACACATATAAACATACCACACATTGTGTATACATGTGCTCATTTACATGTATACATATATATATGAATTGCATATGACCATATATTTTATGACAGATTCTGAAAATGGATGACGAGTTAGATCCAGGATTGAACTAGAATAACCTAGATTGCATTTAAGAAATTGCACCTCTTTTTTTTGGTGAGGCAATTGGGGTTAAGTGACTTGCCCAGAGTCACACAGCTAGTGAGTGTTATGTGTTTAAGGCCTGACTTGAACTTGGCTCCTCCTGACTCCAGGGCCAGTGCTCTATTTACTGTGCCACCTAGCTGCCCTTGTGCTGTGTTTTAAATGACCTTAAACTTCCTCCTAAAACCCAAATCAATTTTTTTTAATCATCGTACTTCCAGTTATGCTATGTGGCTCAAAATCATGGAATATCATAAACTTCAAAGGATCAAATCTGCAGGTCACTCAAAAGACAATGGGGAGATGGATGGTGAGAATAAAACTGGCTACAGGATATGACCAAGAAATAACTGAGCACAAATAGTGACGTAAAAATATCATGAGAGAAAAATGCCTGAAGAAGGGAGTGGTCATGTTTTGAGAGTGAGGGAGTGGAGGCCTCCATCCTTCACTAACACCCATATTATTTCAAGGAACATGGAATGCTGAATGAACCCCCTTTGTACTATTTATATGAGGAAATGGACAAAAGTGTCTTAAGAAGACATGAATAGATTGTTATGCGCATCACTAGAGTATATAGGGAATAGATTATTTGTATTTCTTTTGTACAAAAGGAGAGGGAGCCTAACAAAGGTGAAGAGACTTGGACAAAGTCACACATTTATTAATGTTAGAAATAGAATCAAAATTGAGATTTTTCCAATAATCCAGAGTGGGCGTACTTTCTTTTTTTAACAATATTTTATTTCCCCAATTACATACAAAGGCTATTTTAACATTCCTTTTCTAAAATTTCTCCCTCCCTGAGACAATAAGCAATTTGATATAGGTATACATGTGCAACCATAAAAAACATATTTCCATATTAGTCATGTTGTGAAAGAAAACATAGACCCCCCCCAAAATGAAAAAAAAAAGTGAAAAATAGTATGCTTTGATCTGTATTCATTCTCCATCCTCTGGAGGTGGATAATACGGTTTTATTTTTATTATAAGTTCTTTGGAATTGTATATAGCTGAGAATAGCCAAGTCATTAACAGTTGATTATTATACAGTATTGGTGTTACTATGGACAACTGCTGTACTATGTCTCTCAGTTTTGTTCATTTCACTTTTTATCAGTTCATGTAAGTCTTTCCAGGTTTCTTTCTGAAGTCATCCTCCTCATCATTTCTTATAGCACAATAGTATTCCATCATAATCATACACCACAATTTGTTCAGCCATTTCCCAATTGATGGACATCCCCTCCATTCCCTCCATGCTAACTCAAAGAGTATGTACAGTTTTATAACCCTTTGGGCATAGTTCCAAATTGCTCTCCAGAATGGTTGGATTAATTCACAGCTCTACCAACAGTGCATTACTGTTCCTATTTTCCAATATCCCCTTCAAAATTTATCATTTTCCTTTTCTGTCATGTTAGCCAACCTGATAGGTGTCAAGTGGTACCTCAAAATTGTATTCATTTGCATTTCTCTAATCAATAGTCATTTAGAAAATTTTTTCATATAATTATAGATAGCTTTGATTTCTTCATCCAAAGACTTTATTCATATTCCTTGATCACTTATTCTTCACTTGCATTCTCATAAATTTGACACAGTCCTCCACATATTTGAGAAATCAAGGGGGAGGAGGCATCTAGGTGGTGCAGTTGGTAGAGCACGTGCCCTAGAGTCAGGAGGACCTGAGTTCAAATTCAGCCTCAGACATTGAGCATTCACTAGCTGTGTGACTCTGGGCAAGTCACTTAACCTCAGTTGCCTCACACACAAAAAAAATAAGCCTTTATCAGAGACCCTTACTGTAAAAAAAAATTCCTACCTTTTTCTTTCCTTCTCAACTTGGCTACATTGGTTTTGTTTCTGGAAAACTTTTTTTAAAATTTAATATAATCAAATGTATCTATTTTACATCTCAAAATGCTTTCCATCTCTTGTTTCATCATATATTCTTCCCTTCTCCATAGATCTGACAGATAGACTATTTCTTGCTATCCTGTTTTGTTTGTGGTATCACCCCTTATTTCTAAATCATGTATCCATTGTGACCTTATGTTGGTATAGTGTAAGATGTTGGTTTATAACTAGTTTCTGCCACATTGCTTTCCATTTTTCTTAACAGATTTTGTCCAATAGTGAGTTCTTGTCCTAAAAGTGTGGGTCTTTGGGTTTATCAACTATTAAATTACTTTTGTTATTTACTACTGTGTATTGTATACTTGATATATTCCACTGATCTACCATTCTATTTCTTAGCCAGTAGCATATAGTTTTATGATTGCCATTTATAATACAATTTGAGGTCCTGTGTGACTTGGCCACCAATCTTCACATTTGTTTTCATTAATTCCCTTGCTATTCTTGAACTTTTATTCTTCCAGATGAATTTTAAGCAGAAAGAGAAGAGTGATTTATATCACAATATCTACATTATGAAAATGAAGAATTTTGAAAGATTCAAGCATTCTGACCAACAATGATTCCTGAATATTTATCAAGAAGAATGTTACCTACTTCATAATAGAAAGATGATGGATTAGTAGGCAAAAAAAGAAATTCATTTATGGATGTTAATCATATGGAAAATTTTGCCTCCTTTTGTTTATGTAATATAACTTTTTTCTTTCTCTTTCTTTACTTGCTCCTTTTTCTTTATTTCTCTACCTTCTTTGCTTTCTTGCTCTTTCATTTTCTTTATTTTCCTTCTTTTCTATTTTCCTTCTTTCCTTCATTCCTCCTTTCCATAATCTTTTTTCTCTTTTCCTTGCTTGCTTCCTTTTTTTTCCTCTTTTAGGTTGGTTGAGGGAGCTGAAAGGAAAAAAATTGATCACTGATAATTAAACAAAAAGAAAATATTTTTAAATGTAAAATCTTGTTGCAGCGCATTTATATGAAGAGATACAAGATATAGTCATAGAGGTAAATATAAAAATAGCCAATTTTGATTAGCTGTTATAATTTCCAACAGAGAAAAGGCACCTAAATATTTGTTTAATGAATGGAACAGATGAATGAAATAATACATATTGGTTGCTTTTTTGTAATATTACAGCTTATTAGCATAATGTTTAGTTTGATGAGTGGAGATATAGATATATGTTTATATAAATGTATGTGTGTATATAGGTAGATATAGATATATATGTATGTATTTATATGTGTATGTGTGTTTATATATACACATGTGTGTATGTATATATACTTTGAGTGCATTTTCCAGGTCCCTAAATGTGACCCCCAGGATCAAATATCTTTCTTAGTTCCAATATCTCATAGAATGGAGACAGAAAGGCAAAATAAAGTCATAAAACTATCCAGAAATTCTTTTTTCTGTTGGGAGAGGACAAACATAGGATATTTGCTGTATTCTTCTTATGCAATTTCACCAGGCTTTTTTTTGGCTTGTTTTTTGTTTTTGTTTTTTATACCAGATGAGGGCAGGTAGATAGTTGGATTCCTGTCTTTGATCCTTTAATACCCTCTCTCCTAGAAATCCAAGGGAGAAAAAGCTAGAGAAAAGGAAAACAGTAATCTGTTTTACACAAGAAGAGGGAGGTTCTGCTTACAACAGTGTAATATATAACATTATATAATGTAGTGTAACCCCTTGACTCTTAATAACAAACATGTTGGAAACAGCCATGTTGCTGGAGACCAATAAAGAGTTTCCTGGGTTCTCCTGTCAAGGGTACTGGAATATCTCTCTAGGAAATGCCCTTCTAACAAAGGTCAATTCCATGTCTCATCAATTGATTAGAAGACTCCACCAATAGATCAAGGAATCCCTGATCTGCTTTGTACACTGTTTAATTTATTTTATTGCAATATATGTCTTTTAGTCACAGGAAACCAGAAGTGGAGACACTATGGTGAAAAGAGGAAATTCTCCAATCTGTCCAATTTTCTGCATTTTCTCATCATCAATGATTAAAAAAAAATCAAGCAAGGCCGAAGTATGGTATATTGGAAAGAATGTTAAATTTATGGAGGAATGGTCTAAAGAACTGGGTTCAACTTTTGTTTCTGCTATAATAACTGAAGTAACTTAGGCAAGTTGCCTTATTTCTGGGAACTTCAGTTTCAAAAACTTTCAAATGAGAGGATTAAACATGACTTTTGTGTTCTTTACAGATATGTATCTTTTGAAACCTATATCTAGATAATCTCAAAAATCTCACAAGTCTAGATTATAGGATGCTTATGTTTTCATAATACCTGTAATTATCTATACTATCCTCTTCTAGTAAATGCTAAACCTTGATCATGGATAGCAAAATATAGCAGCCATATACTAATTGTTATATGCTCCCGATTTGCTTCTTAGAGCAAAGTCATAGCCAAGTAACAGCTACATATCTTAAGTCAACAACATAAATGATGCATTACCATTCCAAGTGTTGCCACTGCTATGATAGATTTGTGAATTAGTAGGAAAACTGACGTGCTGTCTCCTGGCTCCAGCAGGAGAAAGATTTGTTTCATTGTGCTCTAAAAA